GGAAAATTCTGAAGCGGTGGCTTTTTTTAAGGGTGCTTTTGAAAACTTCTCTTTCTTGAGAATGTACTTGGGTATCTAAGTTTAAAAAGTGCGATTTTTCTAAAACAACGATGCCATTGTTCATTTTATTACTGTTATTGGTATTAAGTATTCGAATTGCACAGAACTCATTGGGCAAAATTAATTTTCTTTGAGGAAAGCAAAATAATTCCACCATGTACTGCAAATCTGATGAACTACAAATGCGCAAATTTAAAAAGAACTCTTTTCTCAGTGTGTTCAAGATCACTTGGGATAGTGCTAAGAATTTTGATAAGTTTTCTAACATGCTAGTAGGTGAGAATAATATGAATAAGGTGAGAATAATATGAACATTGCAAGCAAATTTTGATAAGTTTTCTAACATGCTAGTAGGTGAGAATAATATGAATAAGGTGAGAATAATATGAACATTGCAAGCAAATTTTGATAAGTTTTCTAACATGCTAGTAGGTGAGAATAATATGAATAAGGTGAGAATAATATGAACATTGCAAGCAAATTTTGATAAGTTTTCTAACATGCTAGTAGGTGAGAATAATATGAATAAGGTGAGAATAATATGAACATTGCAAGCAAGTACAGAGAAATGTATTTTCTTTTTCCTATTTTTTTAAAATCATCCTATATTGCAGGGTTTTTTTTATACCCAGGAATGTTAAGATATAATTTGACTTTATGTATTTTTTTAAAAATTCTCAGTATTTTAATTTGGATGCTGTATTAGCTACACTAAGAAGAACACCCTGCCAATCTACTTCTGGGGATTTTTAAAAAAATAATGATGTTTATTATTTAAAATAATATATTTTATTATATATATTTTAAAATAGATTCTTTTGAAACTCTTTAGAGTGCATCTCCAAGCATTTGTAAGGGACTTTGGCAGCATTTTTAAACATTTTTTTAATCTTACAAGCAGCGTTCTCTGTAAAAACGCATCAGAATCAAAATTCAGTGCAAAAATATTTTTGTAAAAAAAAAAAAGATAAAAATCAATAAGGATAGAATTACTTTTCAAAACCAACATAAAGTTACCAGATGGAATTTGCTAATCATAAAGCAATTTAGTAACATTCTGGAACTGATTTAAACTTAGGGAGCAGGGATTTCTATCCTAATACAGCACTCCTATTTTGGTTTCAACGCCGAGTTGTTATGCCTTTTAAACTGCAGGCTCATGCCCATTTATTTACCAGGGAATAAACCTCACTGAACTCAAGTAAGTCTTCTCTCTGATCAGGCTTTTATAGGACTGTATCATGGTGGTGAAATCCTCTAGGGTGCTACATAGGAATAAACTTCACTGAATTCACTGAGACTTTCTCTGCGGTAAGGAGCACACCATTAGAGCTTCTGCATCTTCCGGCATTTCTAAAAGTTGCATGGCTCCCTCAGTCAGTTTTGTCCTTTTAAAGGGAGACTTTACCGCAGATTTCCAATACCGGCATCACTATCTTGGGTTTGCGCTACCTGAACTTAACTATCGTCACTTGGAAAGAAATCTGAATAATACTGACGGGATTTCTTTCCAAGTTAGCATACGTAGGTTTGCACAGTGTGATGTAGTCGTGGTGGTGTGAGTACTTGGGGAACTTCTGCGTTTTAAGACTTTGTTCTTGCTGTAAAATATTCTAAATGCTTTCTCAGTGTTACGTCATACGCATTATCTCACCAGTGTTAGGAAGGTTAGTTTTATCACGTCTGTCTCCTTATATTTCCCTCTAAGTGAAAAAGTCTTTCCTATGGGGAGGTAGGCATTCAGTTCCTGTATAACTTTAGTTGTACAGTTTTGCATTTTTTTCTTGACAATACTTTCTTTCAAGGCAATATCCTACAGATGTAAACAGCACAGTATTGCAAAAGCGACTGCACTAGAGATTTGCAAAAAGGATCACTCTGTATTGGAGATTTCAGTGCTATTCCTAATATTTTCCAATGTGGAATTTGTATTTTATTCCCCACAGTTGCTGAACACCATAAACATTCATTAAATTCTCCACAGTGACACCAAGATTTTTTCTATGTAATCATCAACTCACCTTAATGTTTAATACAGTGTTATGAAGCTTTAACTCAATATGCAGCATTTTATAATTGATACCACTGAATCTTATTTGCACATAGTAGCCTATTTCCTTCTGGAGTTCTTGAACTTTGCTGCGGGTCCCATCCTCCTAAAAAATTGGACATGGATTGCAAATTTATCTTTTGCATGTGATGAAATTCAGGTTATTGTTTTTGTAGGATATACCAAAGTCTACATCTAAAGGCAATTAATAAGATTTAATTTAATAAGGCTGTCATGGAATGCTGACATTTTTTTCCAGCTCAAATAAATAAGTTATAGCCAGAGATGCTGCACCGATGATAAATGATGCATTCCAGTCTTATCTGCATAAATTACCTAATTTGCATCCTTGAGCAGCAGATTCAAGAAGAGTTAACTGTGTTAATATAT